AAACAAACAATTAGATATAATTGTAACGCTCCAGGTCCGAAATCCTAATCCACATAAATCTTTTATAACTTTATATTTAATTTTTTTTTGCACCATTGTTTTCATATGAAAAAAACAATTGGATAAAATTGTAACGCCCAGGCCCTGAATCCAGATTCGTCACCTCTTTACACCGGCATTCCCCTACATCGTCTGGGACCTGACCGCGCCACTATCTTGTCCCCACTCACATGTTTGCATTCTTAACTTTGGAGTTCTTACGATTGAGTTACCGAAAAAGAATGTGCACTTTGTTAGTATAAACAGTGACTATCAATTCTTTTAAACCTTTCTTGATCATTTTTTCATGATCTCAGGATCCATCTCATTCGGAAATGGTTGCTATTTTGCTTATTTTACTAAATATTCTTGTCATATTTACGACTGCCCCTATTTATAAAGTTAAAGACTCTTGATTTTCGAAATCCAAAGATGACACTTAGAATTTAACCTATTTTATTTAAACCATTCAACATGATTTGAATTCCGTCTAAAAAACATAATTTGAATTCGTTGGATCATTTGTAATGTTTTATAAATGCAATAGAATCATGGTGGGCAATTTGACCTTAAATTGGGGGTTTTTGGGCTGAATAGCCTTTCTAATGCTAGTATAAAATGTGGTCGCTCTCTCCATTTTTATGTTTTGTAAACATTTGCTGGTATCATCCAATAAATCAAATGACCATTATGCCCCTCCACTACTTGAGTTAAATTTTACTTTCTCTCCCTCATTTTCATTTAATCTGATTTTCTTTCTCCTTCTCTTTCTTCTCATTCTTCATCTTCTTCTCTCCCTCATCTCTCTTCGTGTTTCTTATCTCTCTCCCCTCTCCCTCAAACTTTCTCTATCTTCAACGAAAAAATGAAAGAAACGGTCGGGCTTTTTCCGTCATTCAAAGAATATCGCAAGCATAAAGTAAATCTTGTTCACAATCTAGGATCGAAAAAGAGGAGGTGGTTTCCCGATGCAAGTATAGAACATTATTGTTTATGAAAGACGTTGTTGCCGCCCGGAATGCCTTCGTGGAGAGAACAACAAAACGAGAAGGGAGAGAACAACAAAACGAGAAGAGAGAGAGGGAGAAAAGCGAGAAAGAGAACAAGAGAGGAGAGAGAGCGAGAAAGAGAACGAGAGGAAGAGGAGAGAGAGCGACAAAGAGAGCATACAAGCGGGAGAAAAAAATCCAAATTTTGAAATGATGAATCTTTTTAATGTGAGAATCAATTACCAAATCAACAAAAATCCTCCTAGCTTAATCTTCCAATAAGAGAATCCACGCAAATATTTTCAAAAAAGGAAAAAAATTCACGTATATCAACTTAAATACTCCACATAAATGCACTGATTTAAAAAAAAAAACTGAAATTGCTATCCCCACTAATTAAAAAAAAACTGAAACTGAAACTGTAATCCCGGTCTGAGATAGCACAATCCCGGACCGGGATTGGACTGGGATTGCAGTTTCAGTTTCAGTTTTTTTTAATTAGTGGGGATAGCAGTTTCAGTATTTTTTTTTTGAAAGAAAAGACGAAGAAGAAGAGGTCAAACCCATCTGGAATACGTGAAATTAATTTCTATTTTCATTATGGATTTTCTTCAATATTATAGATTTTTTAAGAAAATAAAAGATTGGGAAAATGAAGTAGTTTGCAAAACTTTTTTTCTTTTTAAAAGAGAATTTTCAAATGAATCCCCCCAAATCAACCTTTATTTTCTCATTTTTTATATATAATTTATTAAATCTAACCTACTAAAATGATTTGCCTTTTGTGTAACTCTAATGGTAGACCTCACAAAATCATCTTTCCATTTTTTTTTAATTTTACAAAATATTTCTAAAATATTAAAATTTTAAAGTAAATAGTTTCAGTTTTTTTTTTTAAATGTCTGTATTTATGTGTAGCATTTAAGTTGATTTACGAGAATTTTTTTTCCCTTTTTTGAAAAGATTTGCATAAATTCTGTTATTGGAAGATTAAAGGATTTTTATTGATTTGATAATTGATTCTCACATTAAAAAGTATTATTTCAGTTTTGAAAACTTTGAAAACTCATTTCAAACGTTTTCAAAATTAAGCAGTCACATTTGTATGTTTTCCCTCTCTCGCCTCTCTTTCTCCTCCCTCGTTTTCATTTTCTCGCTCTCTCTCCTCTCTCGTTCTCTTTCTCCTCTCTCGTTTTTGTTTTCTCTCTCCTCTCTCGTTCTCTTTCTGGTTTTTCTCCCTCTCCCTCTTCTCGTTTTCTTGTTCTCTCCCTTCTCGTTTTGTTGTTCTCTCTGCGAAGGCATTCCGGGCGGCAACGATCTCTTTCATAAACAATTTTCTATCCTTACATGGGGAAACCACCTCCACTTTACGTTTGCGATGTTCTTCGAATGACGGAAAAAGCGAGACGGTTTCTTTCATTTCTTCGTTGAAGATAGAGAAAGTTTGAGGAGAGAGAAGAGAGAGAAGGAACACGAAGAGAGATGAAGGAGAGAAGGAGATGAAGAACAAAAAGAAAGAGAAGGAGAGAGAAAATCATATTCAAATGAAAAAGAGGGAGGGAAAGTAAAAATTTAAGTGGGGGGCATGATTTATTGGATGGTGTCAGCAAATGTCTACAAAACATAAAAATAAGGAGAGAGGCCACATTTCATAATTGTGTAATAAAATCATTAAAATAATGTAAATAAAATAAATCATTAGAAAACTAATGATGACCAAAATTAAGGGTAAAACCTCAGCGATAATTGACATAGATTTGTTTAGAGGTGTTCAAGGAACTCGACAACCCGACGAACCCAACCCAACCCGACCGGGTTGGGTTGAGTCTCGAGTTACCCTTGAAAATCTCGGGTCAACCCGATCCTGTTGGATCGTTATGACAACCCTAGAGGGGTGAATAGGGTTTAATGAAACTTTTTACTACGGTGGGCCAAAATTAAACAATTATGTAAATTTTTTAGAAACAATTAATTTTAACACAAAATTAAACAACAAATTAGAAATACAAACACCTTAATTAATTTCATCACCCAAATAATTCAAATATAAATATTGACCATTAAACATGATTAACAAATTCGAACAATTAATTTCATGCAATTTATAATAAAGAAAATTAATTGCAAAAATTAGAAACTTTGACTCTTTCCATGGTAGGAGTCAAACCAATATAAAGCCTTTTTTTTCGGTAGCAAGAAGAAACCCGATCATTTCCACGGTTCAGGATCAAACCGTTACAACGCTCTTTTTCGGGCTCAGCAACCCTTACAAAAGATATGGAAATCTAAGAACAATCTCACAAACTCTCTAAAAAGAGTGGATACACACATTTTCGTTCACAATTTTATGTAAGAAAAATTCTTACAAAATAAAGTCCACAAATGACTTAGAGAAAATAAAATTAGAATCATAAATATCTCTCAAATAAAATCTCCCTCAATAATATAAAACAAAAATTGAAGCTTCGAGGAGAGATTAACAATGTAGAAATTGGAGAGAAAATTGGGAGAGAATAAGTTGTTCAAAAATTTGGAAGAAAGAATAGTTTAAATAGAAGGAAAAAGTTGGGAAGAAATTTGAAATCCAAATTAAATTTGGACAATTGAATTTGAAATGATTAGGGATGAAAGGTTGAGATTTAATATAATAATAATAATAATAATAAATTTATATATATCTCCGACGCTCTTTTCTTTCATTTCATTTTTTTTTAATCAGTTAGATTTGACTTATTTTTTTATTTAATATATGTATATATATTATTTTTACATGTTACATCAAGAGTAACATTTGTTTGTTTTTCTTTTTTCCATTTCTTCTCTTCTTTTCTTTTTATTTCCCATTTCTTTTAAGTAAATACATCACGCCACGTATCATTATTTCATTGGTTCGCTTCGTTAATTTAGCCGCCACGTCATCCTCTCGAAAATTTATCATTTCAACCTCATTTGACTGTAACTCCTCCGTTWGAGCTCTAATTTGAGTAATCTAATAGTCGTTGGAATCGTTGTTTCGATCTCTATGCTGTGGATACTTCAAAACACTAAAATTGTCAAATAACAAAATTGAGTTCGTTATCATCAAAACATTAATTAATTAATTAATTAAAATTAATTAATTTGAGATTAAGGGTCAAAAAGCCAACAGACCTGACCCGAGATTATAGTTTTTTTTACTAATATTACACATATATAATAAATTAATAATTATTAACTAAAATCTTATTTTTTATATTCAATCTCATCTATCCATTTCATTAAATCTCAACCATGGAGTTTAGGTTTCAATTCAATCCTCTCCATTTTGAATATTTGATTCTCTCTCTTTTCTAACATTTTTAATTTCATCTTGTTGAATTAGGGCTTACATGTTGGTTTCAATTTGAATTTGGACTTTAGATAAACTTTGGATAATATAAAATTTTAAAATTTGTATTAAATTAAGACTTACATGTTAATTTCAATTAGGATTTGAATTTGTGCTTAAATTAAGATTTTAATTTTTCTATATTTTTCTTGGTCAATGTTATAAACAAAACAAAAGTAAATTAATTAATCAATTAAAAAAAAAAGCCCGGCAACCCAACCCGACCCAACTCGAATTTATTGGGTTGGGTTGGGTTGGATTGACCATCGTTTTACAACTCGACGGTTCCCGTAAATTCCCAACCCGTAATTCGGGTTGGTCCCAAAAATACCCGTCAACCCGACCCAATCCAACCCGTGAACACCCTTGGATTTGTTTCCATTTTAAAATAATATACAAATATGACTTTTGATTTACTTTTTTAAGAGAGAAACTTTTAATTATATTTTCAAAAATTTTTTTGAAATAAAATTTAATCTGACTTCTTATATTTAAATTATAAATAGTTAATGGGCGTTCTTCAAACATATTCCACATAAAGTTAATAGAAGTAATTATATAAATAGCACAAAATAACTATCTTGTGCTATACATAAATAAAATTATATATTTTCTTGTAGGAGACAAAAAAATTATATATCATTTTAAATATTAGCAATATTTAAGAAAATACCAAGTCTGCTTTCTCTATTTCCAGCACCACCGTGCCGCCCCGACGCCACCTCCCTCGCCCTCACCGCCGCCGCTCCAACCGTCGCGCCGCCATTACCTCTTCTCGTCGAAATTTTCGCGTCGCTCCCAAATCTTCTACATCTCTCGATTTCAGGTTAGTAAAGTTGAGTTCAGTGCTACTTTTTTCATTAATTCACGCTGCAGAGTTCAGACGTCTAGAAGCCGATTATCTTAATCCAACAATATCGATTCCGCAGGCATTGTTGAGAAGTTGTCTGAGTTGAAGTTGAAGGATTAGACTACAGTGCCATGGCCATCGACTGCCTTGTCCTTGGTAATCCACTTGTTCATCATCATGATCATATTTATTCTTTTTCTAATTCCGTTTTCCAATTCTGTTCTTAATCTTCTTCTTCTTTAGGCGCTGGGCAAGAAGTTGGGAAGAGTTGTGTGGTCGTGACAATCAATGGGAAGCGGATTATGTTCGATTGCGGCATGCACATGGGCTATCTTGACCATCGTCGATATCCCGATTTCTCTCGCATCTCTACTTCATGCGACTTCAATACTGCTCTCTCTTGTGTCATCATCACACACTTGTATGTATATTTCCTTCCGTAGTTATCGACAAATTTGTGTTACATTACATTACGTTACTGTCTTTTTATTTGCTTTTCTCTGCTATTTTGCAGTCATTTGGACCATATAGGTGCTCTTCCATACTTCACTGAAGTTTGCGGCTATAATGGACCCATTTACATGACGGTTAAGTTCATATAATACCCATGCGTACAAAGTGTTTGTCTTTTGGTTTTACCATGCTTCACGTGGGATTGTTTCTTCAAAGTTTTGAATTGATTTATTGCTTTCTTTCGTAGATCTAAATTTAAAGTTAGCAAAAATCTTTGGACTCTTTAGTCCTACAATTGAAGTATATTGTCTATTTTGTTTTCTTTCATGTTGATATTGGTATTAAAGCTGTCTATCTACTTCCCTTTGGCTGCAGTATCCAACAATGGCATTGGCTCCTTTAATGTTGGAGGACTATCGAAAAGTGATGGTTGACCGAAGGGGTGAAGCGGAGCAATTTACTAACGATCATATTATAGAGTGCATGAAAAAAGGTATCTGAATTATGTCAAGAACTTCAGCAGTATGCAACTCATCCCTAAAAATTACATATTACTTGCTTTTTGTCCTAGCTTCTTCTTCTTCTTCTTCTTCTTCTTCTTTGTCCTATCTTCTCATCCTAGCTGTTTCTTCTTCTTCTTTATAGTTTCTCACCCTAGCTTCTTCTTCTTAATTTGTCAAAAGGGTTGATGAGAGAGATCCACTCTTGAACTTCAAGGTCATTAAGAAGAGATATCTTCTAAAGTTATGATTTTGAGCGCTTGTGGGAGTTGTTCCACTTGGTTGATGGTGTGATTCAAGTATCATTAAAGGGAGTGGGATTTGATTGGATAGTTTAGACGGTATAAGTCCTTAAATCTTTTTAAAAGTTCATAAATAACTAGGAGAATAGGTTTTAACCAATTCATTGTGTCATTCAATTATTTATCTTTTTTTTTAATATCCGTGAGTGTTCGGGTTAGCTTATCCTAATCTTGAGGGACAGTTACTTGACTCTACAACATTAGTTGTCAGAAAACTCGATAGAATTTTGATACTGTAGCCTGTAGGTAGGTGGTCACCATGGGGTTTGAACCCATTTGCCCGTAGTCTATTTACTCATTTCACTTGCTCCAATGACTACTAGACCTAACCTATGGTGGTCATTAAGCCCATTGGTACTACTAGACCTAACCTATGGTGGTCATTAAGCCCATTGGTACGCCCTTCAATTATTAAAGCTATTCCGTGCTTTTTGTGTTCATTCATAAACTCACAAGGAGACATATAAAGTTGGGAGGACTTACATGAAGTGCTTACTTATGTATGATAGTGATGTTGTAGGATGATCTTTTTTCCTTGCCAACTGAATTCATAAGTGTTATCTCTACTTCTGTGAATGACTGAAACATCAACGATCAAAGTGCCATGGTTCACGGAGGGGGATGTTACACACATCCATGTCGATTATCTCACATACAATTTGATCTTTGTAATGTCTTCTGATGGACAATAGGATAATAAATATGTGATAGTTACTTCATTTCCTTTCTTTTCCCATCCAATTTTGTAGGGATTTGGGTGAGGTTCCATTTTTAACTCAAGTGCCTTCACCAATGGCTTGGATACTATGCTCTTACAACTTCTGGTTCCATATAAATGAGAATTGTCACATACCTCATTGAGTTGTATAGTTAGCTGTTTTTAGGGGTATGATTTCTGGTCTTGGTTTATTTGACCTTGCTTTGGATCTTCTGCCTGATCCCTAATACTTTCAGATTTAGATTTCTTGTCCAACCCTCAGTTTTGCGTTTATTTCTTTATTTGGCAAAACTTTTTATTTTTCTTGATTTCTTTCTACCTAGCAAACATGATGTAGAAAGAGAAACCACTAACTGAATATGGCAAAATGCTAATTTATGAGATCTTCACTCTTCGTGCTGAATTACTTGTTCATCATTTATGTGAGCACCCATTTGCATCATTTGATGAATTGTACTTGCTCAGATTGAGTTTTAGGCTGCATCATTGGTAGTTGTGTATGGCTTAACAATTGGGTACAATTTTTATGTATATGACATGCATAAATTGTTCTGTCATTCCTTTTCATGCATAAATTGTTCTGTCATTCCTTTTCTTTTGTATCTTAAGATTTGCCATTGTTGATTTTGATTCACCTGCAGTTATACCTGTGGATTTGAAGCAGACTATACAGGTCGATGAAGATCTTCAAATTCGTGCTTTCTATGCTGGACATGTAAAGCCTGGTTTGATATATCTAGTATTCTTATTTTGCATCTCCTAGTATAACTTCGTTTGGAGCTGGCTGACAGTCTTCCTCAATCCTCATGGGTGGTAGTCACTAGTCATGTTGTAGGTGTTGTTGCTAAATTTCATTCTTGTTTCAATATTAAACTTGACTTTCATATTGTTGTTAAGTCTCTCTCTCTCTCCCCGACGATCTATACACTAATTTACATGCTGTACAGTAACTTTAGCAACATTTTGATTGATTTAGATTGGAGGGTATTTGTCTAACCTCCTAGGTAGAGGACACCTCTCCCCTCTGCCCTTAAGCTGTATTCCCTTTTTGGTTTTAATTGATATTCTCAAATTTTTATTTAAAAAAAAAAATTCAAATGCACGAGCTTCAAAATTCTCCTGTGTTCCGATTTGAAATGGGTCAATGATGAATTTTTTTCTCTGCTGGTTTCTTTCTTTGTTTTTTTTTTCCCCTCAAGTTTCTTTTTCTCAAGCTTTCCTTTCCATTATTTTTTTCCTCCGGTTAGCATGAAGATCAAGATGCTCAATGAACTATTTCAAATCAAACAAAATACGTAATCCTGAAGCCTGCGCTTTCTTAGGAATTCTATTCAGTTTCCTAGAATTTTTATAGGTGAATGTAAGCTCATATGTTGGACATAAGGTATTCATTTAACAAGAAGTAAATAGACATAAATGAGAGGGATAACATTGCTAAGGACGTGGTATTTTGAGTTTGACATATCAACATACCAAATTTCGGCCAATGTGACAAACAGGTGATAGTTTGGATTAGAAATCATAACTTATTAGTTTTCTCTGCTTTTTAAATGGAAAAGTCTTTACATATCAGTTTTTTTTAATAAAATATGGGCATGCAGGAATCCAGTTATTAGTTGCTATATATATGCATCTAATATCAATCTTCTATTTTGCAAATCGTGGACCCCCATACTTTGTCATTCCTCTATCCCCAGCTTAAATGTAATTCACCTGCATACACATTTACTATGGCCTAGAGTTGTAAACATAGTTCTTAATATTGCTGTCAATTGTGTCTTCTATTGGTGTTTGCTTCAATTCTGCTTAAAGCTCTTTCTTATTGCTTATCCTGAAATTTTCTCCATCAACACTTCAACCAGTAACTGTGGAATGTGCATATTTATATTTTTATCATGTTCTTAAGGTTTTAGGAGCTGCCATGTTTTATGCTAAAGTTGGAGATGCTGCTATGGTATACACAGGAGACTATAATATGACACCTGATAGACATCTTGGAGCAGCTCAAATCGATCGAATGCAATTAGACCTTCTAATAACAGAGTAAGAAGTGCGAGAAAATATTTTACATGTTATTGTTTAGACTGTTAGTTGGTTATATATTAGCTATTCAAATCAATTTATCTTCCAACTCTTGGTTTTCCTCTCTCAGAAGAAAATTGTATGGTAACATTGAAGCCATTATCTATTTTTTGCGAGAAGTAATGGTTTTCCGTTTTGATCTTTGACCCTTTGCTTGATTCTTTAGAAAATATTGTATTTTCCTTTTATTGGTGTTTAATTGGGTTGGAAAATCTTTTATTCTATATATTTTTCAACTTACAGAGAACACGGTTGATGTGCGATCGGAATTTTAAATAATCCCTAGGCCACAGTGAATGTAAGGAAATAAATGACCATTAAAGGAAAGAAGAATATTTTAATATACACATACACCTATTTGCATACGGTACATAGAAAAAGAATAACAGTCAGATTGAAGTATGGTATGCTAAATGGGTTGAGATTGGGCTTAAAATAAATGTGTTTTAATACTCCCTTTAAGTTGGGTTGTAAAATTTGATTAAACTCAACTGGTCCTTTAGTTCCCTAATTTGCTCTATGATGTGCCTTTTGAGTTATTAGTGTTGGTAATGGGAGAATTCTTCTGGAATGGTACTTGGGTTGATAACAGCCTTTAGCGCTTGAATTCCCTTGCAATTTCTCAACAAAAAGATTCCTCCTTTCTTTTCTTTTCCTTTCCTTTTTTCCTTTTCTTTTTTTTGGTTGTATAGGAAACAATTTCACTGATGATATGAAATGTTACAAAAGGGGGAAAAATCCATACAAAGAGATTACAGAGCATTCCAATTTTTAGTGCTTGGGAAGAAGAAACTTATTCTTGGAGAGATGTAGTGAGAAGAAATTTACGGGAGGCAAGTAGAGGAGATTTTGGTAACTTCCTGGAAGGAGAGATGAGAAAAGAGTTTGGAAGTTGGACCCATCAGGTTTGTTTCCTGTGAATCTTTGGTTAAGGTACTCGCGAATTCTCCTTGAATATTAGAAAGGTTTGCTGAAGGCTTGCTGGAAACCCAAGAGTCCAAAAAAGGTGAATGTTTTGTTGTGATTCTACAATTTCGTGGCATTAATTAAAATAAAGTGCCCTTCTCTAACTTTAAGCACAACTTGTGTTCTTTGCATGGAGGCAGGGAAGGATCAATTGCACTCTCCTCCCCCCTTCCTTTCTTTCCATTGTTCATGTTATCATATAGGAAAAACTAGTGGGAACATATCTTTATATATTTTGGTTGCTCATGGGTGTTTGATAAATGCTCTAAGGACACATCTTATGGCATGTTCAATGATGTGTTCTTTGCAAGCAGGAGGATCTCGATCACATCTTATGGCATTGTAAGTTTTTCCAGGATCTTTGGGGTTGGTTCTTTGAGATCTTTGAGGTTCGTCATAGGGATTGGGGGGCTATGGTGGGAGAAGTGCTTTTGATTCCTCATTTCCGCGAGAAAGGGAAGTTTTTGTGGCAGGCTTGTTTCTTTGTGGGGACTTTGGTTGGAGAGGAACAACATAATCTTTAGGGGTAGAGAGAGATAGGGAGTCGGTTTGGGATCTCATTAGATTTAATGTCTCTTTACGAGGTTCTGTTTTGAAGTTGTTTTGTAATTACCAGGTAGTTTCTATTCTTTTGGATTGGAAGCCCTTTCTTTAGATAGAGCTCCTCCTTCAGGGCTTTTGTTTTTGTATGCTATTGTATATGTTTTCTTTTTTTATTTGTCTCAATGAAAAGTTCGGTTTCTTAAAAAAAAAAAAGAAAAAAGCTCTAAGGACAACCTTTTACAGTTACTTTTGTGGCAAATCCCAAATTCCCTTTCTAAAGGGCATCAAGAGATAAATTGCAGAAGAAAGAAAAACATTGCAGAAGAAAGAAAAACAAGAAAGGAGAAATCACACCAGAATTTATACAAATTTTCATGAATGGATAATGTCTTGTCTTTTACTCGTGCAAGTTCCACTGTAAAGTTGAAGAAGACTATAAGAGATAGACAATAGAGTAACTCTCAGTGTCTTTCAAAACCGTACCTTATTGTCAAGAAACCACTCCATGGATTTTCCCCCTCTACCTTCTCTCATCTTAAGCCTTAAACCCTTTATAAAATGCTTCGAACGTGCCCTTGTTTGAATTACTGTGGATTTTCCTATAAGTGTTGGGATTGTGCCCTATGACTCGTGATTTAGAAAATATTTTATAACTCATATTTGTAAATTAGTGCATTTATTTGCCATTCATAAAAGTATACGATAAAATCCAAGGGTACTGGGATGCGAGGTTGAATTAAGTATTTATTGACATTGTAAACTAATTATTTATTGACATTTTGGGATATGAGCATAATTCAGTTGGTGGTAATTGATATGTACTCTTCCCCTCGAGGTTAGAAGTTCGATCTCCCATATCCCAAAATTGTTGTACTAAAAAAAAAATCATAAATTAGATTGAGTGAATAATCATTATACTAAACTTTGTTTATGATCACCGATTCTGAGTGTGTATTGACTCTGTGCTCTGCTTCTTTCAAAAGTTGGTTATAGTTTATTAATGTGGATAGTGAGTAGAAGGTATTCAGATAGATGTGGATATAATTCCACTGTCTGTCCTATTTTTACTAAATCTTGTTTGTGGTCTCCTAGTTAAACATATGAGAGTTTAATGTTTCTTATACTTTTTCATACTACTCCAGCACGTGTTTTCACTGCAAAATATTACTATTGTTAATCTTCCAATGTTTATATCTTCTGCAGGTCTACATATGCAACAACTATCCGTGATTCTAAATATGGCCGTGAGAGGGAATTTCTAAAAGCTGTATGTAGAAATATAACTGTTAAAATTACTTAAGCCAGATTTACTTTTTCTGCACCTTTAATATATTCAACTATAAATTGGATTAACTGGTTTTTCATTCATTGTTATGCATACCAGCATATAAATAATTCTGGAGCCAAGAGGACATAGTGAAAGTTTAGTGAAGCCACCATCATGTCCTAATTTCAGATGGCATATTGTTGATATTAGGAATTTACTTCTGATATTTTTCAATGTCCCTCGTTTGAAGAAAACAAAATATTCTATTCTGTTGCAGGGTCTATTTTGTGATGGTTCAGAACCGTAGGTTGATGCCCGCATTACAACTTTTCATTTGCTTATTTGTGTAGGGTAATGCATGTGTGAATTGTAGACATACTAATCATGTTTAGGACCATGATATATCATATGAGGTAGAATGGGGTAAGAATTGGTTAATGGGGAATTAAACCCATCATAAGCTCATAAGTTCTTTAGTAGATGCTGAATTATTTTATCTTTAAAATTCATAATTTTTAGCAATTGAAGCTTCTGAAACAAGATGCTTTTCCTGGATCATTTGATATAGGTTCATAATTGTGTGGCTGGTGGAGGGAAGGTCCTTATTCCTACTTTTGCACTTGGACGGGCTCAGGTATTTGTTTTACTGAATATAGTTTCTCTGGTTAATCCTGCAACGTCATTAGGTGTATCTTTCACTAAATTGCTCATGTTATATAATACTAATACAATTTTTGTTATAAAAATTTCCATTATGATCAGGAACTCTGTATCTTGTTGGATGACTATTGGGAGCGAATGAATCTAAAGGTTCCAATATACTTTTCAGCCGGTACTCCATCTTTGAAGCAAATTCTCATTTCATCTATATACTAGAAGATATATATTAGTCAAATTTTCATCTCCCTGTTTCATTTCCATTTCAACTGTCTTGTAACTTCCATGGTCTGCTTCACTCTACAACAACATGCTCATGGTCTTCGTCCGGACAATCATCGCAACCCGATCCTTGAGATTGGTTGTAAGTTTTGATAGGATGACAATGAAGATGAGCTTTGAGCTATTCTTGTCCATGATTTGCTTTACTAATCTTCTACCCACAATTTGTTGATTGAATTGAGATGCATGTTAGACCATTGTTGGGAACTCAGCCGTCGAGCTGCTATGATTGATGATTGAGTGTTTAGCGCAACTACGAGCACTTAGTGAACCCTTTAAGGGGCTCATCCTTCTAGTTGGTTCACAATTTATGGCATTGATGAATCGATGAGAGGAAAAAAGTGATGGTTTGACAATGTCTTCCTTGTGGAAGGACGTTGCAAGGATTGTGCAAGCTTGGGCTTGGTTTCTAATTGTTGGGTCTATTGATACTCGAAGATAGTGCTTGTGGAGTTGGGAATGCAGACCCAAACTTTTGAACCGTTAGTCTAAAACTTACATAGGGTCATGTTGTGGAAATTGCCATTAGTCTGACTTGAGTTCCTCGATTTCCTTGGGCAAGCAGGATACCCAATCAATGATAGAAGCTAAAGGGGCTATGCGTAGCGAGGTTGTTGGGGAACTTATATTATAAATAATAGGGACTATGATCTTGAGGTAGAAGTTGGTTAGAGAGCTTTCACTTATTGCGCTGCGATCAAGCTGCCTACATCAGCCTAAGAAGCATGGATATAGACACGAGACATTGGGACATGCTGTTTTTAAAAATATAGGACATGGACAGAAACACGACAAAGACGTGTGTTATTAAGTATATATCATTTTTACACTAGAAATAAATTCAAAGTCAATAAGCTTATGCATTTATGTGCTTAAAAAAATGAGTTTGATGTTTTTCTCTCAAAATTTATTATTTTATCCTATATTACTTTTTAGGTCTATTTATTATACTTAACAAATTTTTGAATATGTGCTACAAGTGTTGGATCCATGTACATTTTGTACAACTAATGTATGACACTCTATTTGGGCTATCAAGTGTCTGATACGTGTTCAATAAATATCAGAGTGTCCGACATGTGTTTGACACAGATATGTTTCTCAAACTAAAGTGTTTGTGCTTCTTACACGAAAAAATTGGCATTCTTGGAAACCACTCTACTAAATGTGTAGGTGAAAAATTAGGGAGGTCGGGGGTGGTTGAGAAATCAATTTGATGTAGTTGCAATCCTTGTTAATGATAAGGATTGGGGGGCCCTGCCTAGTGGGTTCCTAACTATCGTTGTCACTGTTGCTGGTAGAACATGTGGACATGTGTTTGCTTTTGAAATTATATAAACGTTTTATAATAAAGATGCTGCATCATCTTTTTACGTTTATGAGTTTGAAATTATTGTCTTATCAGAAAGGGAGAATTTGAAGTTCTCTTTCCAAATTCTAAGTAATATGAATTTGAAGTTATTGTCTTATCAGAAGGGGAGAGAGCAAGAGAGCCAAATAGAAGCTAAGAATTAACTGATCTCTGAATCTGAACATATTAACTTTTATTTGTGCCCAGCAGGTTTGTATGTATTGATCCTTTTTTGAAAAATTATGTATTGGAGTTTTCATGTGCCCTGTATTATTCTTTATACTATACTTCGTAAAATTTTAATTTTCACTGAATCAAAACTTGTGCATGAATTGACTCTGTATGCTTAGTCAAAAAGGAGGACCAGGCTGAATCGGACTTCAGCATCATCCTGTAGACCACCATGAGAAACAGTTCATAGCTACTGAATGCGTTTCTTTTAAAATTGTTAGCTATTGCTCTGTTTCATATATAGTTCTTCTCACTCCATTCTCTGCTATAAGTAATGCCTTTCTAGACTTATAAGTGCTCGTGTCCATATTTATGCTTTCAGGTTTGACAGTACAAGCCAATATGTACTATAAAATGCTCATCAGTTGGACCAGCCAGAAGATTAAAGAGACGTACTCTACTAGGAATGCATTTGACTTTAAAAATGGTATTGTTTCGTTGACATTTTTTATGGGTGGGAAACAATTGTTCCTCAAAAAACTGCAATAAAATAACTGTTATTAAGTTGGACTTGTTTGCTTACCAGTGAGGTGAGGAAGCCACCCTTGTTCAAGTGGCAGCCTAGGTGTTGACACTTACCAAGGCATCTTACATGAAAAATGGGTGAAGGGGGAAGAAATTAAAGGCATGTTTGGGTGTCAAATTCACTTTCTGACATTATCAACAGCACTGATGTTTTGCTTGGTGTAGAAGTAATTTTGGTAAAATCTAAAAGTGATTTTAGGAGCAGTAGAATCACTTATCAAATGTAATTACCTTCTTAGAATTTTGATGATTTTAAAATCACTTTTGAAATCAAATTAATAATTCAAAAACACTTCTAAATATATGAAAATAAATTTTGGATGTGTAGAACAAAACATTAAAATGACCTAGTATTAAGTGCCTTTTAAAAAATCACTTATAATTAAACCACTCTTGCTAAAAACATTTATTCTAAAGTCACTCCCAAACATGACCTAAAATCATTTTTTACAAAATCACTTATACCTAAATCACTCTTGCTCTATGTTAATGTGATTCTTCTTGCATTTAAGGTTTGACAACACATTGAAATTGCCACATTTTAACTGCTAATGAAGTGCTTGTATAAACTTGGGTTGCAGTTCAAAACTTTGACCGGTCTATGATTGATGCACCTGGACCCTGTGTTCTCTTTGCTACACCAGGGATGATCAGTGGTGGGTTCTCTCTTGAGGTTTTTAAGCGCTGGGCACCTTCTAAATTGAACCTCATCACATTACCTGGGTAATGACAATGGCTACTCTCCTTTGGCTGACAATTTTATCTCTATTATTCAAGTGTAGTGTAGTTTTGCAGGCTGCTTCTTTGATAACCCATAAAGTCATCCAACTTCTGTGATTGTTCTTTTGCTTTCACGTTTGCAACCTTTTTTTTTTGTATAATAATCATCCCAATTTTTCTTATGCTCTTCATAGTTTGTGTTTGAACATGTATATGGCCTATATATTCAAGCGTAATGTGAATTTAAAATTCCCATCTGAAAGCCATCTTATTTTATCCTCTGTAGGTATTGTGTGGCTGGAACTATTGGACACAAGTTGATGTCAGGTAAACCCACCAAAATTGATCTGGATAAGGACACTCAAATCCATGTGCAATGCCAGGCTAGTATCTTTCATACATTACCTTGTTGCATTTTCCCTTTTTGAATATCATTGTTAGGATCATTATTTCCAGCTTTTGAGTCAATTAAGAATATATTAAGGGCCGGTTCATTAACATTCCTATTTCTTGTTTTATGTTTTTCATTTCTTGCTTTGTACTATACCTCAAATAAATAATATATTATATATAAACTAAAAATTACAGCTACCAATTAACTATTAATGCACTTGATGGATTGAGGTTTTCATTGACTCTGATGCTGAGAAAGACTGATAAAAGACCTCTTTTTATGTGTGGGCATGAGAATGAAATATAGAGATGGTTGTGGTACATGGCAAGTGAATCAGTATTTTATTTACAATAAGACAAGTACTTTTGAGGGATAGGATGAATTCAGAATTGTGAATGAAAATGGAACTAAAACCTGAACTTCAGGGAATATTTCTGCATTTACACATTATTTAAGTACCACGGTTAAAGTTTTGAAAATTTCAAAGGGTGTGGGTGGACTTCTTTTTCCTTGTAATGTAATCATTCTATTAAAATTTCCTGATTCTTTATGTTTGTTTCATCTCAGATTCACCAACTGTCATTCAGTCCACATACTGATGCCAAAGGTATTATGGATCTGGTGAAGTTCCTTAGCCCTAAGCACGTGATACTTGTACACGGAGAGAAGCCTAAAATGGCTACTTTAAAGGAGAGGATTCATTCTGAATTGGGAATCCCTTGTCATGACCCTGCTAATAACGAGACCGTATCCATTTCTTCAACTCTTTTTGTCAAAGCAGAAGCCTCAAGCATGTTCATCCACAGTTGTTCCGCTCCTAATTTCAAGTTTTCAAAAAGAAACTTGGATTACAAGATTGATCCTAACTTAAAAGATTTAAGTTGGAAAGCAGGAGTTTCAAACATGTTTATTCGCAGATGCTCAGATCCCAATTTCAAGTATTTGAAAAGTATGAATGACAAGTCTGATTCTGACATAAATTGTATTCCACAGCTACAGGTAAGTGATGATAGGGTAAATGAAGGGATCTTGGTGATGGAAAAAGGTGAAAAAGCCAAAGTGTTACACCAGGATGAACTACTGCTTCTCTTGGGAGAACAACAACATGAGGTTAGATTTGCTAATTGTAGCCCAATATGTTTTGGAAACTTAGATGAGATCCATGGTTTGGATTACTTATCTAGCAAATCTTCATGGCTTTCCCAGCTATGTTCTAAGCTTTCAAGTGAACTTACAGATAAGAATGTTCAAAATCTTGGAGAGTATCTTCAAGTTGAATCATTTACACTGTCCATTTGCTTGAAAGAAAATTGCCCTTACAGAACTAAAAATAGAATTGAAAATGAATCTGCTCTAGTATTCTGTTGCTGTAGTTGGCTAGTTGCAGATGAAATCCTTGCCTGGAAAATCATTTCAATCTTGGAGAAACTTGATCTTAGTTCATCATGAAGGCCCTATTATGTTTGGTTCTTTGTAGTTTTAATTCCACATGGTGAAGAAGAACCATTCTGAGGTAAGCTCAATTCATGAATTGTTTGGTGAATGAACTAATCTACTTCTGGAGTACTCAGTTTCGATATCGATAGTCTGCTGCCAAATCTGGATGACGTAATCATGAATTGTTGTTTTTGGAAGCTTGAATATGGTTGGAATTTGAACAGCTCTCGCGGTGAGGTTGCGACCAGATTTGAATCTGAGTGGCGATTTGCGATTTTGGAGTTCTTTGGTTAATTGGTTTAGTTACTTGTTTTTGTTGCATAACAGTTATATCATCTATGAAGAAAAGAGTTCACAGTAATTTATGTTTTGAAAACTGGCCATTCTCTTATGGTTATTATTATTATTCCCCAAATTGTTTTATTTACATTGTATTTGTGGCTTCTGCTTTTGTACAGGTGGAGTTGTAAGAAACCTAGAACAGGGTCATTCTAAAAATTAACCCCAAAATTTAGGGTTTAGAAAATGGACCCAAACCTTATATATAAAAAAAGAAAAGTTTGTCTGACACTTTTTTAATGTTTTTCTATAATTTCTTTTAACCTTTTCGTGAAGGTGTGATTACGAAACTACCCTCACGTTTTAAAAATAATGGTAGAACATTGTGATTTATTTTATTTTTTTAAAAGTAAACATCATGAGGTGATCTTAGGTAAAAAAAATTATTAAAGGGTTTCCATTTTAAAACATAAACTTTGTAAAACTTGAAGAATTGCATTGATCTCCATAAATCTTTCTTACTTTTGTTAATTTTTAAATTATTTTATGGAGTTGTAACAGTTTTCACAAAGATACCCTTCCAAAATTGAGAAGAAAGATGAACTCCAACTCTACGTTGTTCTCATTAAATTTCAAAATTTTCACATTATCACAAATTTTATATTATTTTTAGAAAAAATAAAATAATTTTTGTCTCTAGCAATATTTTTATTTTTAAGTTATGCATATTTGATCTAGTACTTTAAAAATATTTTAATAATTTGTCTATTTAGCCACTCTATCTTGTTTAGTTTAATTTTTTTTTTGTCACAGGCTAACTAGACGATTTAAGGATTTTGTAACAAGTTGATTTTGAGTAGGTTTGGACGTTTGGTGATGTATTGTCAAACTGATCGAGTTAACATGTGAACCTACACGACACGACTCAAAATTTAGAGACAAAAAAAAAATTCTTTTTAAAATAAAGGGACTAAATAGACACGGCCTAAATTTAAAGACTTATTTGAAAATTTTTAAAATATAAATTAAAGAATAAATAAATAGAACTTTTATAAGTTTTGGGAGTTTAAACTTATAATTTAATCTTTAAAATATTAATAAATAAGAAAATTCACTTTCAACTTATCCACCTCAAGTTTTTAGATTGAATAGTGGTTAATTAGGTATCAAAATTAGARGTGCATCAAAAGCTCTTGTAATAGCATTCGCTCTCCAAGATGAAGATCCACCATCCTAACCTAGACTATTACGAGCTTAAGTACAACTATGTGGATATGTGAACCATGGTTATTGATGATGGTACTAAGACATTTGAAGAGGTGATCCATACCTGTATGGAGCTCGGTCAGGTCGAGATTCTGAAGAACGGGCAAGCCTAGGGTGACTTCCTTCATCTGTCTTTTTTTTTAAAAAAAAAAAAAAAATTCTCAAGTTTTTTTAATCATCTGATTTTTGCACTATTGAAGGTCATAGCATATACACCTCAACCTTTATATGGATCCAAGACCTTCTCCAATTGAGTCCCTTTTCATTGTACTTCAAGTTTTAGTCTAAGTTTTAATTGCCTAACTTCAAATTTGATTGCGGAGCGCCTTTAACTTACAACTTGAGGAAAGAAACTTCGAATTTTTGAATCTTTAACAAAAAAAGTATGTAGATTGTGCAAATAAAGTCACACATTGGTTAGGAATATTGAGATTTGAGGTTTTTTCTTATTAAGTTTCAGTTCTTTATTTTTTAAATTTCTTTCTTTAAAGGTTAGATTTAATTTTGTGTTATTTTGTCTTTTAATTTTCAGTTTTATGACTAGTAAGTTTTAGGTTTTAAATGTTGTTTTAAGTTTTATGTTGGTTACAAAATAGGTAAAAGTATTGTACCTATATAAATGTGAACTTCCATGAGAAGTTTGTACCACCAAAAATATTTGTAACACATATTTGGTACTATCACATTTGTACCACATTTCTTGTATCACCAAAATTTGTACTATTTCATTTGTTTATCACATTTTTGAATCACTTCAATTTGAAATTGATTTCTCATCTATTGGTTTCTACTCTCCCACATTTCATTTCATATTTYCTCATTGTTCATTAGGGGTGTTCACGGGTTGGGTTGGGTCGGGTTAAGGGGGTTTTTTGGGACCAACCCAAATTTTCGGGTTGACCATATGTAGAACTCAACCCAACCCAAATTGATGGCCAACCCAACCCAACCCAACCCAAAAAATTTGGGTTGGGTTGGGTTGGGTTGTCGGTTTTTTTTTAATTATTAATTTACTTTTGTTTTGTTTATAACATAGACCAAAAAAATATAAAAAAAAATCAAAATCTTAATTTAAATACAGATTCAAAATGGATGGATGGATGAGATTGAGTTTTTAAAAATAAGAATTATTAATTTATTATATATATGTAATATTATATTATAAGTAATAATATATATATATATATATATATATATATATATTAGTAAGAAACACGGTGCACGTGAAATTTCATAGTTTTTATTTCAATGTTTAAAAATATAAAATTTAATTAAATAGTTAAAATTTATAATATAATTTGGTTTTTTATCTCTAAATGTTTACCTCACCAAGTTTTTTCATATTTTCAATGTTTATCTCATAAAACAACGTCTCAATAATTCTCATCACCCACTGATGTGGTTAGTGTGACTAAAAGTATTATTCTTCAATTACTTAAATTTTTTTCTAAAAAAAACACATATTCAGGGATTTTTCATCTTTTTTTCCCCTAAACATAACAATAAATAATACAACTTTGTTTCAATTTCTTATTTGAGTCATTGAAAAATAAAATGACAAAAAAAAAAAAGTGAGAGATAGAGATGCATTCAGGGCAGCCATTCTTTGCCATGTTTGAGTTTCGGTCCAATTCCTTGTCCGAGCTCGTCGGGAATGCCAACCGCAGCCATGTTCAGATGAATTACTCAAGCTATTTTCATCACACGATGATCACCTTACCAAGGAGGAGGTCATTGAGAGAGTCCTCGCGGTTACCAAGTGTCATCCAAAGTGGATCTGTCCGTGATTCGATCTTATCACTAATTTTCACTTTTTTTTTCTAGTTGATTGAGTCGTTTGGAAAAAAAACTAAAAAAATTGAATATTCGATCAAACAATCTAACTAAATATAAGAAAATACAAGACATTGACTAAAAGAGAAAATTTACATACCGAAAGAGAAGAAATTCAAGTTTTGATGAAGAAAATGTTGGGAGAAAGAGTAAGATAAAACTCTTTCTAGAAAATAAGAAGTTACGAAACTTTTGAAATTCCTTATTAATTATAATTCAAAATAAATTATAACTTTTTAATATAGAAATAAAGAGACAAAACCTCCATATTCTAACTCTTTATATTCTAACCTTTAAGAGGGATAGTTTATTAGAAAGAGAAAATTAATTTGAGAAATGTAAAATTTGTAACAATGGAGATTAAATATTTTAAAAGAAATGAAAAAAGAGAAAGTGGCGTGGGAGGGAGAGAAATAGGGAGTGAGAGAGAAAATTTTATAGTTGAAAGACAAAATTACCCTCAAAATATCTATGAGAATGTTGAAATTAAAAGGGCAAAATAAGGAGAAAAAGTTTCTCCCTATAGCCCCTTTCATATATACTATAGATATATAAAATAAAATAAAAAAACATATATACTTGGGTCGGGTAGGGTTGACCCGACATTTTCAAGGGTCAACCTGAGACCCGACCCAACCCGGTTGGGTTGGGTTCGTTGGGTTGTCGGGTTCCCTGAACACCCTTATTGTTCATCAAACATCGAGAATTTTACTATTGCTTCCGCATTATTTTTATCACTTTCATTTTATCTACAAGGAAAGAGATTGATCCATAGCATATAAGAGAGGACGATTATCTCTATTAATATAAAGTTTTTTGGGTAAAACCAAAAGCAAAGTCGTAAGAGTTAGCCCAAAAAGATAATATCATATCATTATGGAGATATTAGGAGTACTTGGGGTACTCTTTGTTAGAGCAAATAAGGAAGATCACGTTGTTATGTCGTGGAACCCACTACCTTGAAAGTAAAATTTGGCACGACCTCGGTGCTAAATCATTATTGTCGGTTGCTTCCCAAGGTTAACACAACACCTGAATTCAAGCATACACTCGCTAGAAAACGGGTTGGAATCGGCTCAAAACAGAAGTGAAAACAAAAAATGTAAGGTAAACAGAAGGAGAGAAACGTTGTAGAAGTGTGTCTTYTGCAAATGAGGTGAGTGGGTTTATATAGGGTGTAAAGAGAGAAACAGTTTTTACAAAATTAATCACAAAAAAATGTTTTGAAATAATGATAATTACAAAACGTTCATAAACGGTCAAATTAAATAAAAAAAAAAACGTTTTCAAAACAAAGTGGCTGTAACTGCTGAACCATTGTGCCCAATACCCAGCAACTTTGGGCCCAACATCTACCAAACTAACACTCCTGAGTGCCCAATAGCCAGCAGATTTATCCACCAAATTTTGGGCCAGCCCAGTGGATAAACAAAATTAAGATTAAAACAGTTTTATTTTATTTTTTTAATATTACCTTTCTCTTTTGACATTCCTAGCACTCTTATCCTGTGTGGCGATAAATTCTTGAATGTCGAACATGAACAAGAGGAACTATCAATGTCTATTATAGATTCACGTAAGGTCCATTCTTTTATTAATGTGAGATCATTAACATGTAAATTCCTTAAACTTTATGTTGTTGAACTGTTTGTTATTATTCGTGATAATGACTTGGAGTGTTCTGCAATATTCACCCACATGAAGTTAGTAATCTTAGCTTTGAAGATGGTGATAGAGGCTTGACCTTGACCCACTTGGTGAAGTAATCCACCATCACAGCAGCAAACGTAGTCTAACCCTTGTTCATTGATAGCAGCTCGATCAAGTCAACACTCATTAAAAAGAAGACAGAGACGAAGATGTATCTGACGCCCGTGATATCCGATCGAAAAACGGCATCAACACGTGCATAGAGAGAGACACAAAAGTCAATGATTTGATTAGACTTGCAAAACAGTTAAAAAAGAATAAACGGACAATTAGGTACTATTTTTGAAAAAAAAAGATGGAAAATTTGACTGTTTTTGACGTGTTTGTGGTCAGGAGGATTTGGTCAAAACTGGAGAACGAAAGTTGTGGTTCCTGTATTTTTTTTATAAGCTGGCGGCTGGACAACAAATCCTACTCTATTTATTTATATAATAATTAATTGTATTGTATTCTTCAATTAAATTACAAAATAAATAAATAAGATATTCTTGCTCCAAAAAGAAAAAAGAAGTTCAGCAAATGATCAAAGAATAAATTATAGTTTCAATTTCTATATTCGGTTCATAAAATTTATAAACGGAAATTTTTGGCCAAATCGATTTTCGTCGCCATTCCGAATTTTATTTCTATTTAGGAGATGAGATTTTAAAAGCTACATTTTTAATCTTTGAGATTTTCTCTTATATTAATTTCGATAAAAAAAAAAAACCAAACTATTTGGTAATAGAAAGATATGTGATAGCGTGGATTATTGACCCAATATGACTATGGGTCCACTGTCATTCTCAACCCAGTTGAAGTTGTCAGAGAAGTTATTGGTCTTGCCAGACTAAGAATCACGCATTCCCTCGAATTTCTTTAACCTGGGTTAATTAATTATCATGTCATCTTTTCATCAAATTAGGTAATAATCTAGAGATCAAATAAATATAAATATTTAAATTTGAACGACACTTTTAAAGCTTGAAAAACAAAATAAAAACTAAATTTAAAACACCTGGGTAAAAAAAAACATTGATTTTGAAGCTTCAAAAACCAAAATCTAATTTCCAAGGGTTATAACAATAAATTATGTATTAATCAAATGATTTTTATTTTAGTTTTTATGCTCTCAAAATATCTACTTTTATCCTTATACTTCAAACTTTTATTATTTTAGCTATTGTACTCTTTTTAATTTTTATTTTTATCAAAATTTTAGCATGGTCACTCATTAAATATTTTTTAAAGTGTAACCACAAATTTATGTTAAAAGATTTTTTTTATTGTGTATAAAATTTTTAAAATAAATGTTTAGAAAATACAGAAATTAAAACAAAGTAAAATTGAAAGGATAAAATTTGGAAGAATTCAAAAGTAGCACGTGGATTTGACTATTCAATAATAATCATCTGTTCAATATTGAACGCTAGGGCCAATTGCTTTATAACACGCCACACCAATTCTCTTTCCGTCGCTTTTCTTTCTTCAAAATTTTCTCTCCACTTTTATTTTCCCGGGAAACAAACACCATGTCTTCCTTGATAATTCCCCCTGTTCTCACTTCTCCTCGGGACGATGCTGTTCAACTCTACCGCGCCTTCAAAGGTCAACTTCTGCTTCCATTTAATTTCCTAATTTCCTTCTGTTTTGTCGCTATATGTCTTAGTTTTGAGGGTTTTGTTTCGCAAAATGGGAAATGAAATCGGTCAATTCTGTCTTTACATCTGAATCTGTTCACCTGTTTACTCTTTCCTTACTCGTTTTCTGCGATTACATGAGTGAGAATTGGTAATGCCCTAAATTACAAGTTTAGTCAACGAATTCTGTATCCTTAAACTTTCACTTTCCTATCTAATAACACCACCATCTTTCACTTCTATGTGTATCTATTAGATATTTTTTCGCTTCAAATCTTATCATACACAGGTCTTGTAAATCAACCTGGATAATATATTATGTTTTCTGGGTTTTTCTTTTTCTGATTTGAGATCAGATTCCCTTTATTGGAGTGGATAAAATAAAGTTAGAAAAGGTTACAGAGAGAAAAAAAGTGGGGGAAAAGAAAGAAGACAGAGGAGCGAATGATTAATTTATTCTTTGAATTCAAAAGTGACTCAACCCAGTTGACCTRGGGGAGATTTGATGAGTAGGCATAGGGTTTTGATTTCTAATCACCCTTTAGGTTTTCTCGATATTCTTGAATACCAAATTTCTTTTCTACCCCTTTCCTCTCTCTTACTCCTTCTCTCTCCTCAATCTCMCTCCTTCCCGAAAATTTTCTTTTCTCTTCCCCTTTTTCATCTTCTCCCCTCCCTCTCTTTTATGATTTTTTATCCTTATTTCTCTTTTCTCTTCCATTTATTCTTTACCCTAATTTTATGCTATTCTTCCTCTCTCATTCTCCCTCTTGATTTTTTTAATTTCTTCAACTTCCTCTGTGTGACTCCATTATTGGACCTCAAAATTAAAACAAGACAAAGAAAAACCTCTCACTCTCGCTCT